ATCACGGAGACTATCATAAATAGATTGAGAGAATGGGTTATCCAAACCTGCATGATCTTACATAAATCATCCCAAACCAAGCTACTTGCTGATGAAGACATCACATGTATTCCACCTACACTATCATTTAAACATGCAACAAAATCCCAACAGAGGCCAAAACTTCTGAACAAGGATGCTAAAAAGTAAAACACTTAATCAGGACTGAAGTATCCCTCCTTAGGCATGTTAGTATGGAAATTCCTGGCATGGATTTTTAGGTTGGCCAGCCTGAACATAGATATACGACCTGGACAGATGATCATAAACACAGATCATTGTAAATATTAACAGTTCTGAATGGAGAAAATTCACCAGTGTCTGGAGTTGCAGATGCTGCTCTTCATTTGGTCAACTGTCTAAAGCAGGAATGCGCCTGTGGAAAGGGTATGCTAATCCTTGCACTATTCTAGCACCAAGAATTTCAAAGAGTCAAATATTTACTTAATTCTCTGCATCTCGGTAAGGTGGGCAGGGCTCATTATACCCATTTTACAGCAAGAACTTGGTATCACAGAGAGTTTAAATGATTTGTCCAAAGTCAGAGTAAGTCAGTGACAAAAGGACAGAACCTAGGAATCCCAATCCCAGTCCTCTGATTGAACTGCTCCCAAATTTGTTGATAGACAGCAAATTGGAAACACCGATACCTTCAAAAAGATTTAAACACATGAGAATCATACAAGTTAGAGATGGAAGAGAAGAGCAGTAATAGGCCATGGTATCCCATCTCCCCAAGGAAGAGCAGGATTGCTCCATATTGCACATTTTCTAGTCTAAACGTGAATGTTCCAGTAGGTGGGGCTTCCACCACTTCTCTAGAGGGGGAATTTCACAGCCAAATAGTTCTAATTGTCAGGATATTCCTTCCTGACAGATAGCCTAGATTTCCCTTTTCTTATTACGGGTCCCAAAAGCATCAGGGGAACATGTGTTACAACCTATGAAATGGCTGATTGATTCTAGCAGGAGCAAATATACATGGATATATTGTGGAACTAAGAGTCAGAAGGCAAACCCCGCAACAGAGACGCTCTATAAAAAGGGGTAGCCGTGTTAGTCTTGCATCTGATGAAGTGGGCATTCACCCACAAAAGCTTATGCTCCAATACTTCTGTTAGTCTTAAAGGTGCCACAGGACCCTCTGTTGCTTTCTATAAAAAGGGAAGTTGCACACCACCCCTGGGGGCCAATCTAAAGTTCTCATCCTGGTTTGGTCATCTTACCTTGCCATGGAGAGGGCACAGGGAAGAGCTTTTAAACAAGCTAGGAAAGATCCTTGGCTTTAATGATACAAAGAACATCTTAGGTTTGTAGGATTGGGAGAAGGATCCCATAATTAAGATCTGTCAGTCTCTCTCTGACCCAACCCTGTACAGATCACTCAAATTCATTGTCCCAGTAGTAAGGTTGCTAGTAGCCAGAAGCAGGATGTTCTCAATAAAGCACTTGCACCCAGTAGAAATACATTTAGCCATATCCTGCTGCATCTCTTTACCCAAATTTTCTCTGTTTACGAGCTATGAAATCCTGGGCTCTTAGCCAACTGGCCTCATCTCCCTCAAAGCTGCAAGTCACACAAGACTGGCATTTTTGCTTCTTTTATTTAGAATTGTTTATTACCATATTTAAACCACAGCGTACACCCAGAGACCACAGACACCCTATAAATACAGGTAACTAATGTGAACACTGCTGAAAGCGTACCTCATGCACCTCTACATAAGCAACATCAGTTCTATCAGAAGAACCACAACTCTGCTCCCCTCCCTCTTCAATCTCAAACCGGATCAATCTCACTAGTGGCCTTCTGCTCTTAGGGCTGCTCTCTTCACACAGGTCTTCCACTAATGAGAAGAAATAAGGCTTGCAGGGAGGCTAGATCTAGGCCCATCTTATCTCCAGTGGCAGCAAATTCCATAGGCAAGAGCTTTCAATAGGAAATGCTGCCCACAGCATTGGGTACAGAAACAAAGTTGGAAATCAGAGGGCCTTCCTCTGCCAGCTTCCCTCTCCCAAATGATACATATTTAGGATTTTCTGCCCCAGGAGGTGCTGGCAGAATCTACTTCACTGGGTTCTAAGAAAAAAAAAAATCAAACAGTTCCATCCCAGTTTGTAAATGGCGTTAGGTGCACAAGCCGCAGTGACAGGTTCACTAGCACTGGGTTTAAACTAAGCCAAGGAATTTCCCCCCCAGCATGTATTGGCTGAGACCTGCAGGGAGGAGTCCGCTCTCCTCCAAGGCACAGCCCGAGTGAGAATCTATTAGGTTCACATGGCCATATCTCATACAATTACTTCACCGTGATTGAAGGAGGGTAATCAACACTGGGGACCTTGATCCCTATCTTCTGCATCCATTCTTTACGGTTCACTCTTAGAGCATAGTTAATAGTGCAGAAGAAATAAGCCATTTCATCAATTAAAATCAATGATGTAACAAAGCCCTAACATCCCAACAACAGTACTACAAAAAGGCATTCAACGTAAGAACAGATCTAATTTAGCCTGGCAGCACAGTCCAGCCACAGTCTGAAGCTTACAGATAGCAGGTCACACCCATGAATGCTACACTGCAAGAAACTGTTTGTCTCTCTCCATATAAAAAAAAAACACAGCTGGACATTTCTAAAATTAAGCCAAATTATTCAAGTGCAAGGGTGTCGATTCCCCCTCACGTCAAAGAAATTAGCACTCCTAGCAACAGTGCAAATGAAGGCAGCAGATTTTCAGTGAAGTGTAATCACACTGTTTTTAATGAATGTGCAGCTATATTAGCGTTCAGGGCAACTACTATCTGGGCACATGCTACCATGGCACAGTCAATGGTGCACAAAAAACTGCAGAGACAGCACCACACCTGGTGGGCTGATGGCACTGAATCACAGTACCACACCTTGTTTACTACTGGGCCAGATGTAAACACAGTGACAGACATCGCCTCATTCAAGCCACCTGCTGCTTTCATGCACCTAGGACCTCATATAATGAATTCCCTTTAATGGCTTTTCTAAAAGCCACCCAAGCGCTGTTTGCCAGGTGAGGTGTAGGAGCATGGCAGCTGTGGGTTTTTCTGCAGAGGTCACCTGAGGGTTGATTAAACTGGTATCACACAGGGAAAAAAAAATCCTGCAGTTTTTGCAGCTCAAGAATGCAGGGCTCAGAAAGCAGTAGGAGAAGTAGCAGTAGCAACACAGCCGCTGAGCAGCATACAGTACAGAGAAAGACCGAGGATTGCAAGTGCTGCACATGTAAAATAAATAAAAGCCATTCCAGCACAAACAACTCATCCCCCTTAGGCACACGCCCTACCCCATACCAATATACACCCCCAGCACATCCCACTGCAGCCCTGTAATCCACACACCCTTTATCACAATACCATTGAACAGACCCTACCATGTGAAGAGTTTGAACCATACACTCCCCTATTTCCCTATATCCACACACACACCCCCATCTCACCACCCCATAATAATCAGCACCACACGGACATCCCTACCCCCCCCCACACACACATACACAAGCCTATACTCACTATACCCTGCACACACCCATATGCACCCCTACCCTATATCAGTGTGCAGCCTGCCAACACCCACCGCCTACCCCTTCTCACTTGTCACATATACATACCCCCAACCCACCCTCTTTTGCACTTGCCCCTTCACCCCAGTCCCCATATCCCATACTACCCTACATCCACATAAGCCCCTGTTCAGATACCCCCAGCAACCCTTCCCCACAGCATGTCAGACACCCACACCCCACAGCAGGGGAGGGAGGCATTAAAACCCAACACCACTAGCACAGACCCCCCCACAAGGAACCCCAACCCAGCAGGGGGGAGGGGGATGTGGTGGAGCTGTGAGGGAGGGGGGCACAGTGGGGGTAAGGCTATGAGGTTGGTTTCGGGAGGAGGGGGACACAGTAGGGGTGGGGCTGTAAGGGGAGAAGACACAGACCCCAGCTCAGCAGCAGGGTGGGGGACACGGTAGGGGTGGGGCTGTGAGGGGGGGTGTGAGAGAAGAAGGGGATGCTGGGGGGGTGGGGCTGTAAGGGGGCACATGGACCCCACCCCAGCAGGGGGAGGACATGCTGGGGTTGGGAGCGGGGGTCTCAGAGAAGGGGATGCTGGGGGTGGGGTTGTGAGGGGGCACATGGACCCCAGCCCAGTGGGTGGGGGTCTGAAAGAAGAAAAGGATGCTGGGGTTGGGGCTCTGAGGGGGCACACAGACCCCATCCCAGCAGGAGGAGGACGCGGTGGGGCTGTGAGGGGGGGGGGTCTGAGAGAAGAAGGGGATGCTGGGGGGGTGAGGCTGTGAGGGGGCACACGGACCCCAGCCCAACAGGGGGAGGATGCAGTGGGGGTGGGGCTGCAAGGGGGCACACAGACCCCAGCCCAGCAAGGGGGGGACACGTGATGGGGCTATGAGAGGGGGTCAGAGAAGAAGGGGATGCTGGGGGTGGGGCTGTGAGGAGGCACACAGACCCCAGCCCAGCAGGGGGGGGGACATGGTGGGGCTATGTGTGGGGGGTGTCTGAGAGAAGAAGGGGATGCTGGGGGGTGGGCTGCGAGGGGGCACACGGACCCCAGCCCGGCGAGGGGGGGGACGGACGTGGTGG